AGTATGGTATCAATTCAAGAACTACAACATTAGGAGAAGGAAAGCAATCATTGGCTTAAAAACTAATGCAACGGGACAAGATGGCATTAATTCGAAAATGTTAGCTTTAATCGTGCCTCACCTGACGGATCACATAACGTTCATTATTAATCATTGCCTCTCTCTTGGTGTGTTTCCGTCAATGTGGAAAACTGGCAATGTCGTTCCTGTTCCCAAGGTATCGCGCCCTACTCAGTTGGCTGATTTCAGACCAATCAGTATATTGCCTACGATGTCAAAGATCCTTGAAAGAGTTGTTGCTGACCAACTTACAGCGTTTTTGTCAAGTAATAACTTATTACCATCTACTCAGTCAGGATTCCGTAAACACCACAGTACATCGACTGCTTTGTTACATATAACTGACGATATTTTTTCTGCATGGGACCATGGTCTTTGCACCTGCCTGATTTTGCTGGACTATAGTAAAGCATTTGATACTATAAACCATGACGTTCTGCGGATAAAACTTCAGTACTTTGGTTTGGGCGCAATGTCCTTGAATTTTTTTCAGCAGCTATTTTACTGATAGGTCTCAAAGAGTGGTTATTGGCGGACAGGTCTCAGAAATCACTCACCTTAATAGAGGTGTTGTTCAAGGAAGCATCTAAGCCCCCCTACTGTTCTCTTTATATACCTCAGATTTTTCAACTTTCTTAAAATTTTGTCACAGCCACCAGTATGCAGATGACACCCAAATATATTTTTCTTTTAAACCTGAAAATATCATAAATGCCATCGAATATATCAACTCAGATCTCAAAACAATTGCTGAAATATCTAAAGCACATCAACTGTCATTGAATGAGACAAAAACACAACTTGTGATATTTGGAAAAAATAGAGACATTGTGATGAGAAGCCCTGAACTTAAGATTATAATTAATGATGTTGTTTTAAGGCCTTTTACTGCATGTAAGAATCTGGGTCTCACTATCGACACTGATCTGAGATTTTCTGCTCATGTTTCCAGTCTAGTTCAAAAGACATTCGGTAAACTGAGGCTTCTATATATGCATAGGGATAGCTTTAACACTAACTCGATGTTGAGATTGTGCGATTCCTTGTTGCTGTCTCATCTAGGTTATTGTGATGTAGTGTACTGGCCTGCCTTGACCCAACGGGATAGGTCCACCTTGCAAAAGATACAGAATGCCTGTCTGCGATATGCTTACGGTGTCAGAAAATTTGACCATATATCTCCATTTTTTATCCAATCTGGTTGGTTAAATTTGTCCGAAAGATTTTTTAGCTACATGTCAACTTTGGTTTATAAGATCAATAAGCTTAACACCCCTAAATATCTTGCCAAAAAAGTGGTCAAACGATCTGACATACATGAGAGACACACTCGTCACTGTGACACACTTTCCATGCCCCGACATACCACGAGCCTCTTCCAACGATCTTTTAGATTCAACGCAGTTTCTGTTTTTAATTCCTTGCCTGATGACGTCAGAAAGGCTAACTCTCTAGAGATGTTAGGGAGGGAGTTGAGGGCTTTGTTGTTTGCCCAGAGAGATCGAGATCGAAGATAGTTTAGAATAGTTTATTTTAGTATTTAGTATTAAATAAGTATCGGTAAAAACTCACCAATTGTTAGTATTAAGTTACAGGGTGGTTGTATGAGCAGCTCAAGTTGGATACCGCCACCCCTCAAATATTATTGTAAATGTTATGTTAGTTATTCTAAATAAAGGCATTTATTATTATTATTATTATTATTATTATTATTAATATTGCGCATAAACAATCATTGTTGCAGGAAAGACGTAAGCAACTATTTTCTCAAAAAAGGCGAAACTTGCAGGATCCGACCTATAACAATGACAGGACCAACACTGGGTCTTGGCCTCATCCATAAACGTATTGGACATCAACGTGAAAAATAACATGTCTTGGCGTAACCACATCACCAAAATCGCCAAGACAGCAGCACAAAAGCTAGGGGCTTTTTATAGAATAAGGAAGTTGTATATCCCATTTCAGCTTTTGCTACTCTTATAAGGCCCAGATAAGAGCATCCTTGGAATACTGCAAATATATATGGAAATCGGTATCCAAACACTTGCTCAAGATGTTGGACTCGATACAAAAGAGAGCAGTCCGTCTTATCGATGACCCGGAGTTGACCAAAACCTCCAAAGCCTTGAAAATCGATAAAAGTGGCGGACCTATCATTTACTATCGATACTACTACGGAAGGTGTTCGAACGATTTAGCACTTCTGATTTCGCCCAAAGTTGCACCAAATAGAAACACTCGTCAGGCACAAGCAGCTCATCAACATACAATTCAGTTATAAATACCTAGAACATCGCTGTTTCGAGATTCATTTTTCTGTAGGGCCGCCTCGCTCTAGAATGCACTTCAAAGTCGCATCTTCCCCGAAAACTGGAACCTACAGCGACCAATGTCCCTCGACACCTCCACACACACTCCACTCGTTGATATAGGACTTTCCTTTTGTGTGTGTGCCGTGTGCCGACCATGAAAAAAAAGCCTAATAAATGGATCAACGGTCATAATAACAGCTGGATTCCAGGATTCTGAATTTTGAAAATTAGATAGTACTCAAGAAGAAGCTAATACCAGATTATTATTACCATTACATTATGTGCTAACAGAACTAAAATCAGTTAACACAATTCTGGTAAAATCTGTTGATATCGATGTCCTAATACCTATTGCTTATTCATGTTTACTGCACAATACCAGCAATTCCCCAAAGTCTATTTATACAGTTAGGACAAAGTAGAACTGCATATTTTTTTATCAATAGATGATATTTATATGTAGTAGGAAATTTGGAAAAAGAAATTTGTAAGGATTAAAATGTTGGAGTGATTGCGAATATCTAAACTGTCGTAACAGTTTGCGTATTTTTGCACTCCCGAACACGACGTGATTTCGCATGATGATTTAGAGGATTTTAAATTTAATGTGTATATTTTGGTGTTTTTTTTTTCATAGGTACATAGGGCCTATACAAAAATACCCTATGCATTTTTTTGCTAATTATTGGGGAATTTTACAGAACAAACCCTTGCTTTTTTGTTGTTATTTACAACACGAGTCAAATTTCCAAGACCAAGTTAATGAAAATAATCAGTGAAAAGTAAATATTTATGCCATTATTATTTAAAACCAAAGGTACAGATTTTATTAATTTTAATTTGCTCAAATATATCACGAAAATGCACCCAGGCAGGCGAAAAGGGTCATTTACATCCACTTAACGTAACTTATTAACGTATGAAAAATTATAATTAACGTTCGAAACTGAGGTTTGTGTTTACATTGTTTACAATGAAGTTAATTTTCCTACGTGTAATCACCAATAACATTAATATAAAAGACAAGTTCAATCTGTGTGTCATTCATAATTATTATTGAAATTAACGTACGAATTTCCTTAAGTTAAAGTTGGTTCAACTTTTCCGTCTGTTACGTTAATTTTCTTAATTTTTAGGTGGATGTAAACAACTACATATAAGTACATGATCTTCAACTTTTCTTTATTATTAATTTTCCGTAGGTACGTTGAGTTAAGTGGATGTAAATGACACTAAAGACGCGCGCTGCGCTAAGTGTGGCGAAGCTACCCGGAGTAGGTAGTGCACGGCCGATAAAACTCTCAACTTCAAGTGACGATATCTTGAAAACTATGCATCGCGGAGTATCGTGTTTTTTTTCAAAAATTTTCATGATGTCTTAGCTTTGTTTCATTCGCTAATAGTATGGCAGAAATCCTTAAAACAAAAAAGTTTCTCGCTTACTGAAAAAAATACTGCATAAAAAGTGTAAGTTGAAGTTTTACCTAGTTTTACGAATAGAGCGAGTTTTTCAGAAAAACAAAATTATCTTACTGATTTTCCTCTTTAGAATAAAAAAAAATTAATGAAATTATCTCAATTGGTTTCGGAGATATCGCGAGGTATGTGTGAAAAAGTATGAAAACTGAATTTTGACAAATTCATGACATTTTTCGATATAAAAATTGTTGGACCTAGTAAAAAAATTTGTAATTAGCCAATAATGTAATTCTTGTAGATTTTTCTCATCTAAGTAGAAATTAAAATAAAAATAAAATTACAAAGATAGAAACACAACGACAATGTGCTGCAATTGGCAACACGGTCTAGGTTTTCGTACTCAGGGGTCAAATGGAATCGCGCGACAGAAAGCCTGGATCCATCGGAGGGGTCCGATTTTTAACATGCAGTTATCCTTCTAGTTCGTATATTATTCTATGGTATAAGTAATTGCCTATCTATGAGTCGGCACTTAATGTATGCAAAAGCGGTAACAACCTTGAACTAACATAAACATATCGATTTTATATTCCGATTGCCTTATTTGCATAATTAAAGCGGTGACAACCTTGAACTAACATCTCGATTTTATAGTCAGATTATCGGAGCAGATCGCACACACGTGCGTGCCCAGCGACATCTCACCGAACAATCTCGGGGTTGAAGGGTGGAATTGCAACCCCAAAGTTGTCGAAAAAACCCAAACTTTTTTGAAAAATTTTGTAGCAGCTTCAAAATTGGTCGAATTATTGCTTGGACAGATACGAGTAAAATATCAAAAACGCACATGTTTATCTCGGGGTTGAAGGGGGGAAATGCAACCCCAAAGTTGTCCAAAAAAGAAAAAAATTTGTAGCAGTTTCAAAGTTGGTCGAATTATTGCTTGGACAGATACGAGTAAAATATCAAAAAAGCACATGTTTATCTCGGGATTGAAGGTGGGAAATTCAACCCCAAAGTTATGTTCGTTTTACCTTTTATATATCTCGCACAACTAACCAATTAAGTAGGTAACTCGAGAGGTAACTTTGCAATCCTTGAGCTTTTATAACTAATACCTATAACTTAAAAATATTGGAATAAGTTATATCTAGATCTTATATTAACAGCATTTTGTATAAATGTAAGTATTTATTTTTTTTTTAGAATATTGCGCCGTACAACTCAGCCAGCCCATCTCGTCACATCCGTAGCGGTTCTTTGCATAGCTTTCCTGTGCTTTCCAACTCAGTCAGCTGTAGCTACATTATCTCCTCTATGGACCCTTTTGTATTTGGGTTGTTTTAGTGCGCACTTCGGCGCCCAAATCTGGATGACCTTTGTTTCTGGATTAGCTTTATATTTCAGCTTGCCGAGGCACAATTTTGGCAGTGTGCAGCAAGTACTTTTCCCTAAGTACTTCTGCTTAAATTCCTTCCTGAGCCTCATCACCCTAGCTATCTTCTTGAGAGTTAAGAATGGTCAGCTTGGGACTGTGGAAAATGGAGTTCAGGTAATCACTCTTATCAATAATTTTCAAATTCATAATAATAATACGAATTAAAAAAGAAACCTCAAATATTTCAACTAATATTTTTTTCTCTTTTGTTACAGGCGTTTGCAATGTCGTTTTGCTTTCTTACTGAACTTGTCATATTTCTTTACTTGACTCCTCCCCTACTTGCTTTGATCGCCATTAAAACTGAAATTGAAAAAGAAGCAGGAGTTGGGCTTGAAATTGGAAAACTGGAACCCGGAAAACTTCTCAAATGTCCACACTATGTGAAAATCCACAGATCTTTCAGAAAGATTCATATGTCGATAGCAATGGGCAATGTTTTAACTATGGCGTGTACATCCTTACATTTATACTATCTTTCGTGTAAACTGTGTACTCTTACCTTGTAAAAAATATTTATTTATGCTTATTTATTTATTTTCAAAAAGGCACATCCTGAAATATCATAATTTAGATAGAATATTTATTAACTAGGCTAAGTTTATGTAGGCGTGTTTTTCAAATTCAGAATCAGTATTATTTTTGTTAGCTTTTTATATGAAAAGACAGACTAATGATTGGAAATATTTTTTGTAATAGAATGAAAATGAAAAATATACTTTATTATCATTATTTTATTAAAATAGCTGAACTAAATAGGAAAAAAGCTTCTAAACTTCAGAGTTATCATGTAAGTTCTACAAACTGAGGCTGATAAATTACTGTGGCGACCCCAGAATTTCGAGTTTCAAAGCGCTGCCAAAGTTACAGAAAATATAAGTTCAATCGAGAGAAGTAATAATTTCAATAGTCATTTCTATCAGAGAAGTGCGTAAGTTTCAAGATAATTTAATTTCAAACCAATAATCTCCTAACAATTCAACATCTGATTCAGTGAGAAGAAAATTCCAAATAGATAAAAAGATCTTTGACCTCGGATCAGTAAGCTAAAATATTGACGAGTTTTCTAAATCCAAAAATTTAAATTTCCAAACACAAGCGATAAGCGACCGGAAGTCAAAGCACCAAAAGTAGAATCCAAATTAAAAGACACACGTGCGACATTTCGATAAAAGGCAACGACCCAAAAGATAAATTCTCCGAGGCCGATTAATAATCGACAGATTTCAATTAAAAAATCATAAAAATTAGGTCGCACACGCGCTGGCGATAACCTTGCCAGCCAGAAACCAACACATTCTTGTGAAATTAATTGTCTAATAACTGATAAACAACATCGCAGGTATCCCCACCGGAAGTTGGACAATCCTAAAGCGATAAAAACTTAATAAACAATTCTTAGAAGATATCAAGGGGCAATAATCTAGGTCGACCAATAGGATTGGTTTGTAAAATGCTAAACGACCGCCCAACATTAGGTGGGAAATGAGAATATAAAAGATAGAAATCGCGCTGACGAGAGAGAGATATATAGAGAAACAAGAAGAGAAGAATTCATCAAGTGATAAGATAGAAGTTAATCACTACGATTTTGGGTGTTCAATTTTACTTAGAGTTGTTTTCCCAGCCTCGGGTCTAAGATCATTTCAAAATTTGATCAATTTTGTAAAGCTGAAGTGAAGCGAAAGTATTTTATCAGAAAAATAAAATTTTGATCGTAAAGTTCTGAAAGTATGAGCGTGCTATAAACAAGTAATTGAATTCTGTGAAGTTGTATGGACTAATTGTAAGTACATGTGACATTTTTAACTTTTGTAAATTAATACGGCTGTTGCATTTGGTTAATATGTGAAGTGGATTCCAATGAACAATGAGACAATCCATTGCCATTATGATAAAAAAAAAGAAGGAACAATTTGTTCGATTATTTAGGGGACTACTAGGAAAAATAATTTGAGATAAGGTTAAGGTTGATATAAATATTTGATGATTCAATGTTCATTTAACAGTTGAGCATTATGGGCTATGAATTTTAACAACACAAATTATTAACAATGTTTAATGATCAATAATGATTAAAGTACGTGTTGCACTGTATAATTAACTGATTAATATAAATATGCGATAACGATGCTGGGTTGAATTAAATGATTTTTTTTTCTTTCGAAGTATAATGATATTAAACTGTAAGAAAAGTAGAGGATTTTCAAATGCTTTATTGTATAAGCTAATATTTTCAACAAGATTTAATGATTGACATTATAATGATTTGGAAGTTGGATAATTATGCTATTGTTGTTGTATACTTAAAGACTAATAAAAGTTGTTGCACTAAGGAACGTCGGCCTGAAGGAAGGCGGCTACAATTGCCCAATATAGTAATTTTGGTATCTATTTAGAATCTGATTAATTTGGTTAGTAAAAATAAAGAGTAAATCTTGTAAGTGGCTGGAAGAAATTGAGTAAAAATTTTAGATGTATACTGTATAACGATATACTGGATGAATTATGAAAAAAAATTAGTGTATTTACTGTATAATTTTATATTGTAAAATTTGGGTTTTATTATTTAAAATAAAAATATAGGTATAATACCTATGTGTGAATCTTACTGCAGTTGTTTCTCTCTTTTGCAAGTAAACCCCCTTCACCATTTAATTCTGTAGCTACTCAAAGAAATTACTAACATCAATAAAACCGCTCGCAAATAACATCTAACCTTTAATGATCAATAGAGTACTTGGGCGGCCAGCTACATCACCAATAGTAACAGAAAAAAAAACATAAAAAGAAGCTTAATACTAACGAATTCGCAAATTGCGCTATGTAGGTTGAAAGCTCAGGGTTCCATATTCTATGCAACTACAGCTCGTTTCGCCAAAGTTCATACTTCTGACATCGAACACGCCATAACTTGAAAAGAAAAGGTTGTAGTATAATTCATATGACACATTAAAGGACCCCGCACACCTCTTATGGGAATTTGGTTCAGAGCTGTCAGTACTTCAAGTAAATTACTTGGAAAATGTATTTCAATTACTTTTTAGTATTTGAAGTACTATAATTCAAATACTTTTGTTTTTGGATATTTGTACTTGAATCTGCAAATACTTTCAATAAAGTATTTGTATTTGGTACTTGGATTCACAAAAAAAGTAATTCAAATACTGGGCATTTGTACTCAAAATACTAGATAAATTTTAAATCGTTAAATTGAAAGTAACTACAATCTACTGTAACTGGAATCTTGTAATTTGGAATCCCTGTAGTATTTTTTTAAAAGTACCGTAAAACGGGGATACTTTGTGACATGTTTTGAGGTTTTTTGAAATTCTCGAACATTTCTTTGCCATATGAAATTCTAAAAAAAAAAATACACCGTACCTATATCCGTTCTTTCGCTACAGACTGGCAATTCTAGAAAATTGAAAAAATAATGATAATTCAGTCTTTTTTTAATTTGAAATTGTCCCAATTTTACCCCGTGCTGCAGGGTAACTTTATGACAGTACATGCGTTTTTACATTGAAAACATAATGTAACCCCGGCATTTTTAGTCTGAAACGATAGGAAATTTCAACAAATATTTGCTTGAGAATTTCATACATCTGTCAAAACTGGTATTGCAACAATAAATTGACATGTTTTGATTGTTGATTTGAACCAATCAGATTGTAATTACGCGATAATTTGCACTAGTGCAAATTATCAGATAATTGCATACTAACTGGTGCGAAAACTGGTGTTTTGACATTTTTTGACAAAAAATTTAAATTTTTGATTTATGAAATTCTCTCATTAAATACAACTCGTGCAATGGAAATATATTTATAATTTTCGACAAATTTGCACTCATGCGTTTTTAACTGAAAAAGCATTCGGGCAAATTTCCCAAAAATTATCAATAATTTCCATTGCACTAGTTATATTACTATTGATAATTTTTTCATATTTGAAACACGGGTATACAGTGTCATTACTTAAGTGTGCAACATATGGGATTTTTTTTTAGTAATAGCGCAATCAAAATACAAACAAAGCCAAAAGTTGGTGCATGTCTGATAATCATATTAAGTGCACTTAGAAAGGTTGTAAGTCGAACAGCATACAGGGTAGCTCAAAAAATATCAAAATTCTAGTAATATTTTCTTGAATAAAATAAAACTTTTGCACTTTAAGGAGAGTTTTTTTAATATGGCTATTATCATTAGTAATGTTTTAACTTGTTAAAAAAAAAATTGCAACATTTTAAAGTTGTGTTAAATATCATTGCAACAAACATGAATTTTGTAATTCCATAAAAAATTAAAAATCTAAGTTAATTTTACAAATATGCTTGAATTTGAACAAAGTTATGTAAAAGTGATTTGATTTTAAGTAATTTTTGAAAGTATTGAGGGCGGAAATAAAAATTTAAAAAAATATAGAAATTATAGATTTTTTTCGAAAAAAAAATAAAAAAAATCTTAGGAGGCTATGTTTTGGTATTTAGGCATAACTTTTAATTCCAAACAACTTTTCTCTATAACATTTTGCTGAATTTTCTAAAATAAGGTTACTTTACCAGTACAGCTTTGATATTGTTTGAGCTACCCTGTATGCTGTTTGACTTGCAACCATTCTAAGTGCACCTAATATGATTATTAGACATGCACCAAGGCACCAACTTTTGGCCTTGTTTGTATTTGGGTTGTGCTACTACTAAAAAAAATCCCTATATGTTGCACACTTGAAAAATCACACTGTATACTGATTAAGACATTTTAAACTTTCATTGTATATCATACGATATAGTATTTATCACCCGCATATTCAGCCAGAAATTGGAATGTGCACTCCATCAATAGGAAGTCACATTAGGAGATATGTCCATCCAGTGGCGTATCAACCCAGCTCTGGGCCTGTGTGCCAACATTTTTGCGGGCTCATCACAAGCCTCCCCCGCCAAACTAACCCAAATTTCGACCCAAAAGTCATTCAAAAAACACTCCTAAAATTTTTTATTAGGTATTTCTATTTAAACGTTGAATTGTGAATTCACCATTTTCAACAGTGGTATGAATAATTATATCCTGTTCACAATCAGATGTCCACAGGTGCAGGTAAATTTATCACCATAGGCGCAACTAGGAGAATGCTTGGGGGTGCTAAGCACCCCTAAAGCAAAAATTAGCACTCCTATTCGGCATCTCACCATAGCACTACCTAACACTTATATAAAAAATTACTGCAACCAAATTATTTTATGTATTATTTGCACTTTTTGTACTTATATACGTCATCGATGACGTCATAATTTAGAAAAAAGTATTTCTCGTTGATTAATTCATAGAGCACGTTCGTAATTATTATTATTGTTAAAATCAAGACTTACCTTAAAATACACGGTTTTTATCTTATAATAACATTTAGAATGACGTCATCGAACAAGGTCAGACAATGTTGTCAATGTCTATGTTTATTCTATATCTTAAGGTGACATTGAAATACCGGCTCTTAAAAAATCATTGGAGTCCCAAATATATAAATTAATTAACTGCGTATCATACAGGGTGTTCTTAAATATCATGTACAAACGACAAAGGGTGATTCTTTTTTTTTACGACTGAAATTTCAAATATGTTCTAAAAAATTGACTTATTTAAAAGCAATTAAAAAAAATTCACCCTCTTACATTTTAATTTTTTTCTAGAAAGAGAAAATTTTGAAAATTTTCTAGGAATAAGAGGAAAATGAGAAGCTCATTTTACGAAAATTTCAAAATTTTTCAGTAGAAAATTAATCCAGGAAAAATTTTGAAAAACTTACTTTTCAGCAAAATTAGGGAGAATTCATCCTCTTACATTTTAATTTTTTTCTAGAAATCTGGCAAAGGGAAAATTATGAAATGTTTCCAGAAGTAAAAGAAAAGTGAGGAGCACATTATAGAAAAATTTCAAAATTTTCCAGTCAAAAATCACTCTAGGAAAAATTCTGGGAAATTGACTTTTTTAGGCAAAATTCACCTTCTTACAACCGGGAAACTGGCAAGAAAATTGTGAAAATTTTCCAGAAAAAGAAGAAAATAAAGAGCTCATTATAGCAAATTTTGTAATTTTCGAAGACTCGTAATTTCCGTAATTTTTCTTTAGAAATTTCTCAATTCCTGTCATTTCTCAAATAATTCTTATAATTTTTTTATTAATTCCTATTGTTCTTCATATTTTCGTAATTTTTTAATTCCCGTAGTTTCTCAGAAAATTCCGTTATTTTTATAATTCCACGTTTTTGTATATTTCAAAAATTAGTAGGTAATTCCCATAATTTCCGTATTTTTTCTGGGCATTTTTCAAAATCATTTCCCGAAAGCCTTTGTGATTTCTAATTCTCGTAATTCCCGTAACTTTTTCGTAATCCCTGTAATTTTTTATAATTCTCGTAACTTTGATATGTTTTTTTTCTTCGTAATTTTCAATTGTCGTAATTTTTTAAATTTCTTGGACGTTTTTTGAAATTTTATAATTTCCCGGTCTTTATAATTTTTGTAATTGTAATTCCTGATTCTTGTAATTTTTGTTATTTTCTAACTTTTTGAAAATCATCATAGGTTTTTTCGATTTTTGCAATTTGTTAATAAATTTCCGTGATTTATTTCCAGAATTTTCGTAACTTGTAACTTTTCTAATTTCCATAATTTTTTAAAAATTTAATTATTTTCCGTAGTCCCAAAATTTTTGGTAATTTCTGCAATTTTTTCAATTCTCGTAATTTTCGTTAATTAACAAATTCCTTAATCTTTGTGTTATTTCCGATATATTTTTTTTTTTTTCAATTTTTCGTAATTTCCGTAATTTTGCAATTCCTATAATTTTCCTAATTTGCGTAATTTTTTATGATTTTCGTGATCTCTGTTATTTTTTTAATTCCCGTAATTTCTTTATTTTATTTTTCAATAATGATAATTTCCGTAAGTTTTTGATATTTCCGTTATTTTTGAAATTCTCGTGATTTTTATTATTTTTTCGTAAAACGTAATTTCCGATAATTTTTTGCAGTTCTACGGAATTTTTGAAATTCGCGTAATTTTTTTCAATATTTTTCATTGTTCTCCGTAATACTCGATTTTTTTCTAATTTCATAATTCTTCTCTCAGTTTTTTTAATAATTAATGTAATTTCCATGATTTTTTGAAATTTTTGTTATTTTTGTTAATATTTTTCCATATTACGTAATTTTTCAATAATTTTCGTAATTTTACATAATTTTTGAAATTTCCATGATTTTTTTTCGTAATTTTATAATTCTCCTAATTTTTCAATATGTAATTGTAATTCCCGTATTTTTTTGAAATTTCCGTGATTTTTTGTAATATTCGTAATTTTTCATTTTTATAATTCCTGTAATTTACGTAATTTATCAATGACTTTTGTAATTCTACGTAATATTTGAAATTGCCAATACTTTCCATTGCTTTTGTAATACTCAAATTTTATAATTCTGTTTTTTAGTTTTTAATAATGGTGGTTTCCGTAATTTTTTAAATTTTCCGTAATTTTTGCAATTCTCGTTACTTTTGTTACTTTTCCGTTATACGTTATTTCCCAATGTTTTCGAAACTTTAATAATTTTTGA